GAAGAGTGTCAGGCGTTGCATACATTATTCAATATGGTGTATGGAACGAAGCTCAAAAAATAATAGCATTCAAAACAGAAGAAAGCTATAGCACAGTACATCGTTCAGCAGTACGCTGTATGTTACAGTTCTACTGTATAGAGCATGGTGAGCTTTGCCTGGCTGTTAATCGTCCTTGGTGCTTAGCTTCAGGGTTCAGCAAGTCGGCCTGATGTTTGCCAATATATGAGGGCTGCAGTCCGAAAGCGCGCGCGCCAGCCGATCTCTAGGTCATGCAATGCAAGGAAACACGATTGCAAGTGATCACCTAAACATAAGCATCCCTTACTTGGGGTGTAAGGCTGGTTTCAGGAATCTCAGACGCCTTGTTTGTCAGGTGTTCGGCACTTCTCCTCCCTGTCTCGCTGGCGGCTCCGACTGTCCCTCTTTCAACTCTTCAAGCCAAGCACGGTAACGCTTGCAACACACAACAGAATGCTTCACACAATGAACAACCCGCGCTCACAAGCACGACGTGCTTGCTATGCTTGTGTAGTCTGTGATTGGTCGTCGCCCAAGGGCCAAAATCCAATTAAAATATGTATCTTCTTATGTAGGGGCCATAATGGGAGATTGCTAGTAATTATACTGTATCAACCCTCGACCCCTAATCCCTTCCTGTGCCAAAGCTGGGAAACTCCAACAACCTTCTGAATGACCACGGAAAGACGCGGGCAGGGGCAAGCGAGAATGCAGCGAATGGACTGTAACAATGCAAGTACAAGCTGGGCTGAAGCGCCAGACAGTCATCAGTTCTTCATGGTCCACGGCTGAGTCTACAAGCACACTCGGGCAGTAGCCTACGTTGGCTCTCTCTGGAATCTAAGGATGCCGCTAAAGTTGAGGATTTATACAGCCCACGGCCCCACGATGTCCAGGCCTTCCTTGTGCGGTCTCGGCTGGCAGATGTTAAAGAGGCGGGGTTCGCCAGTGTGAAACCTCCGGACTGCAATGAGACACCGAAGGCCATCTCAGGGTTTTTGTCAGGGTTTCGGGCTTCCGGTCTGTGGCCTTTGCGAGGCATAGAGGGGGGAAACCATTCGAAGCCTCACATCACGGTTGCATCGCCAAGTGTTAAGCTGCTGAAGAGCCCAAATCCGCAACACCAACGACCTGGCTCCCAAGCCCTACTTGGAGGTTCATGGGCAGTTATAAGTGAGGTTATAAGTACGGTAACCATAGTTATAACCCCTGTTAAAGGACTTATAACCCTACTTATAACTACCCATGAACCTCAAAGTATAGATTCGTTGAGGCCTCCAAAACCATCGCCTTGCTGTCATAGACCATTTGGAGCATGACAGGGGCAAACCTGCGTGCTTGGTGATGGCATCGTCAAAGATAGCGGGCAGTGGGGTAGCGGGTAGCGTAGCGAATATGAGGGTGTCAGCGAGGATCATGGTAACTGCGACGCTAAAAATGCTGAAGATGAGGACCGGGATCACTACAAAGAAGCACTGGTAAGACATATTATGGACTGCCCTATGTTGTGATCATGGCGAAGACGATGCTGAGTATGATGAATGGTGATGGCTATGACTATGACATTGCGAAGATAAGGCGAGGAGAACTAATCAAACAACAATCATAATCGTAACCACCACACGAGGCATCAGCGGGCATCGCTGTGGCGATCACCTGCCGTCGTCTGATCCATCGTCGAAGTCGCAGTCCTCCTTATCTTCTTCATTCTGGCCATCGTGTTCGTCCTCGTCGTCGTCGAAATTAAACGTCTTCATCTCCTTCATCATCATCGCCCTAACCATGTTGTCATCATCCCCATCATCAGCTTGAGATCATTTCATCGCAGTCCCTCTTGACCAGGAAGCAAGTAGCTGTCCAGGAGCAAAGCTTCAGGATCATGTCCTGGCCTTCGGGAAAGCCAGACTATGGTGATACCGTAGCGAGGACAACAAAACCGGGATTCGAGCAAGCATGGGGCTTACTGGCTTCGAGGTTCACGATGGCAAAACAACAGTGCAGCATCGCAACCGTCTTCGTCATCACCAAGAGAATCATAAGCAGCATCGTCACTCTCCCGCTAAGTAAGCAGCAATGGCAAGTAAACGGCAATGGCAGCATACAATTCCGAAAGCAATGCTTCTCTACGAAACATGACGTCCCTGCTCTTAGGCACTCTGCACAAAAGTTCAAGATCTTGGCCCGGTGGCCGAGACTTGCGACCCAATGAGGTCCAGCTTCAAAGGTGGTATACACGGGCAGCCCAAAACAGATTTATACACTATCCCAACGTCCTCTGAAGCGTTTTGAAGTCGACGTTAGTCGACTAGGCACTGTATGGGTACTGAAGTACTGACCTCCAAACCCAACATCCGTCATGCCCAATGCCCTTTAATATCCCTAAACCCACAAGCACTTACTGAAGGCTTACATCCCCAGAAGACGCACCTCAGGGCGCATAGTACGGCAAACCCCGAATCCGCGATCAAGGCCTCCTGAGCCACCTAGCCACCCATAGCCTGCTCCAAGAATGCGCAGGCTTTTGAGCAATGGGTCTGATGCTTTTGGGGGTTCGGGCTCCGATGAACTTGCAAACTGGGTTGAATTCGATGCTTGCGGCTCCGGGTTTTCGAACGCAACCTGGGATTCTCGCGCTTGGTGGGTTCCTCTTGCTTCACACCTGGTTGCGTCTCGCCTTGGAAATCTTGGCCATCAGCTTTTCGTCGCCCCAATACTTCTCCAAGGCGGTCATTCCATTCTTCTTGATGTCCTTCAATGTTGTAGTTGTCGTAGAGAAATACTCAAAATACTAATACATGTACTGTACTAATACTAGCACAAGCAGTAGCAGTAGCAGCAG